AGATGCACGAAAGTCTTTTGTAACCAACTGATACACTTTCTACAGTATGTAAAGAAGGAAGATTTTATGTGTTGTGCTTGTTTTGAAAATTAAAAAAAAACTTTAAAAAATAAATGTTGGGCTCAATTATGGTGGTTAGGCAAGGACTATCTATAAGTTGCGAGAGAACATTCACTTATTTTTAGTATAGCATAGCCTTTATTGTCATTGTATATCATGTATACAACAAAATTGGTTTTTAGCTTCACTGGTGCAATTTATGATAAAAAAAATACAACATAAATAGTATAAAGAATAATTCCTATGTAAGTAATTAGGTGGGGGAAGGGGATGTAGGGTTTTGGCTTGTGTTTCTGTGGTATCACTTGCACTCCCATATAAAAGACACCAGGTGGGAAAATAGTTTTGCAAGGAAACCATTAAACATATTTCAGGGTTATCAAACCTAATTTGAGCTTGCAAAGTATTTGACGTGTAAAAAGCAAAGGGAATTTTGGTACAATGTGAAACTTTGTCTCAGTTCTGGTAAATCAGGTAATGGCTGAATGAGATAGCTGGAACAGCCGTTATATAGAGTTTATCATAGGAATGAACATGCATACAGGCCTACAGGACAAAATGCTTGCTCTGAAAGGAAAATATCTTGTTTTACAAGTATTACTAAGAAGTTGGAAGGCATTAAGGGAGTTGATGAAGACTGGGAACAACCTTCAAGAGCCAAGCTGAAATGGAGCCTCTCGTTTTATCTGCAGGCGATGTTTACCTTAGAAAGGTAAATCCTGCCTCAGCAAATATCTAGTTTTTTTTTAAGAGTACATTAGATTATGTCCAAGTTGCTTAGTAACCAAAATTGCAATGGACCTCAAAAACCTACTTTGACTGGATTTGAAGTTTTGGTGGCTGCCATCTCAACCTCTCACGTTATGGTATTTTGAGTGCTTGGCACCTGGCCCACATTCATAACTGTTTGTAATATCCCATGGTTACATGACAGGGATTTGTGACTTCTAGTTTCTGGCAAAAACTGCCCATTGCAGACAACAGGTTCGCTTAATGACCAATTGCATTCACTTAACGACTATAGATTTAGGTTCTTGCTCTAGACTAGGATCTGATTAGGGTTCACCTTCTCTGTCTAGATTTTTTTAGCCAGTTGCTCAGATTTACCCTGCTTCTGTTTATTTTCTGCCTTTATTGTTTCTACAAATTTCTCAAGACGGTGAATATATTCAACACACCTGTTTCCTCCTATTTCACCCCACAACAGCCTTTTCTTCCAGCAAGAAGAGAAACATGATGATGCTATCTAGTTTGGCAATGAAACATCTGCAAGGAAACCAAGCCAAGCTTAGAAAGCACCCACGGACTCGAGAGGAGCTTACCTCTGCCGTAGATGGGACTCGGCTCCTGCAGGAAAATACCTCCCCATGTCAAATGGCCACATAAATAAATAAATAAATAGCTAAGCCCTCGCTTGTTCCCAATTGCTGTTCTGTTCATACGCGCACACATACCAATTTCAGGCACTCTTTTAAAAAAAAAATGCTAGAGAAAGTATTCTTCCTGTAAGCAAGGTCTAATTTCAAGGGGGGGGGGGGAAGAATTTTAAAAAATGCATGCTTTGTTTTTTGAACATCAATCACTGGGATTATACATAATTTCAGAGAAATAATTTGTTTCTATTGCTCCCTCCTCAGCCATCCGTCCGTGTGTGTGTGTGTGTGTGTGTGTGTGTGTGTGTGTGTTGTGTGTTCGTTCTCAAGTATTTCGGCAACTGCTTGGACAAGTCCCTGCAGTTTTCTTGTAAAGAAAAAAAAAAGTGGTTTGTCACTGCCGCTACTTCCCAGGGTTGAGAAGAGAGTAACAGGATCAAACTACCCTAGCTGGTTTTGTGCCTAAACTAGGACTAGATCTCACAGTTTCCTGGTGTCTAGCCTGGAGCCTTTAACCGTTACACCAAGCTGCCTCTCCTCTTCTATGGTTGACTGAATATGAGCCATCAAGCTAGTGTTGACTCCGTGATATGCCCAGCTTAATCACAGGCAGTCCTTGACTTTAAATTATCCATTTAGCAACCACTGGAAGTTACAATGGGCCTGAAAAAAATGACTTACGATTCGTCCTCCTCGCCCTTATGACCGTCACAGAATCATCACAGTCATGTAATCAAAATTCGAGTGATCGTCAGCCAACATGCATTTAAGACAGTTGTTGCATCCTGAGGTCATCTGATCGTCATTTGCGACCTTCCCAGCTGGCTTTTGACAAGCAAAGTCAATGAGGGAAGCTGCATTCACTTAATGATCGCAAGATTCACTTAACAACCAGAGTGTAATACCATGGTCATAAAATTGGGTGCAGCTCGCTTAACGATCACCTTGCTTAGCAACAGAATTCTGATCCAATTATGGTTTTAAGTTAAGGACTACCTATAGTAGTCCTTTATAGTTTATAACTAAACTAACTATGTTTAGTTATGTCCTAGCAACATCTATGGAAGTACAGGCCGTACCTGTGTATATGAGTCCTGCAGGTGAGCTGTGTCCTCTGGAAAGCCTGTGTTTCATTTATCGTCCCCCATGAACAATAAAACATAAGTTTTAATAGATGTCAGATACATCTGTAGATATTTCATTTTCCAAAAGGTACACAATGATAGCCAGGCGTATCCCTCAAGGAAAGACCAACATGCTGGATTTTTTTGAGTGCGCACTTTTTTATTTAAGTATTGTAACAGGAAATCATGGGTTTTCATTTTAAATCTCCCCCCTCTAATGGACAACAAACTCTGATTCTGGATTTAAAAGTCAGCTGAGTGACATCCGAAAGATCAAAGGCAGAGAGAAAAAATGCCAATAAAATAAGTTACCTCAGGAAGAGGCAGAAAGTTATGGAATCTATAGCTTAGATTCCAAAAGGGAGCCAAGTGGTAATTTTATTCCCCTTAGGCCATCATCTTCCACCATTGTGCACCATGAAAATTCTCTTTGCTAACCGACAGATAAATTCTAACTCCCAAACAGGAAACCCACCTCCAAATCTTAAGATGGCAGCAAGGGAGAACTTTTCAGATGCCCTATCCTGTCATTAAGAGTCAAACCATAGAGAGGAAGAAGTGCTGAGTGGCCCTATGTGTTGGGATCCCTTCTGTGACGTATGTGACGGTGGAAACCTCCTTTCGCCGTGCATCTTCAAATGCGTCGGAAGTCAACAGAGGAGGAGGTTGGGTCAAGGCCACAGGTGGGATTGGCAGTGTGCAAGTAAATGATGGAGAAACAACACTGCTTTGCACGGATGCTCTTGGTGGCCTTGAGTGCTTCCATGTGGGAACGGGAGAGATACGCTTTGGGCTACTTGGGTTCAAGAGGCCAACTCAAGGACCACCGAAGATGCACCAACGCAGCAGGACTAGGGGATGCATCAGGAAGCAATGTTCTGAACAGCAACCACACAGGAGGAGAGGAAGCCCTCTGTTCCTTTCTCGCCATATCGAGGTGTCCACAAGGATCAAAAGGCTTCGTGAGGAGAGCACAGCAGATGCTTAGGAATCTCAGGTGAGAGAGGAAAGGGAGATGGAATCCATGCCAATGTGGGTTTGGTGCAGGTATTTAAAGCTTTCTCCAGAAGCAAGGAAGGGGGTTAGTCTCGTTGTGGGGGGCCGTTCTAAATGCGGAAACTTTCCTCTTTGCCATCAATGTGCTTGAGACGGAGGTAGACATCTGTGCCAATGCCCTGCAGGGACTGGAGGGTCAAGGAACCACCCAGATACTCAGCGTAAGCCCGGGAAGTTGGCAAGCCAAATCCGAACCTGTGGAGGAGAGAATCAAGAAGGGGGTGGGGGGTGTTGGTTGGTTTCAAACTCTCCGCAGCTACAAGAGCCATCAATAACCAGAGTCCTCTCTTCGAGAGCCAGTCTTTGGAGGAGACAGACGCCTCTGAGAAACCCTACATGGCTTATTCACAAACTAGCATCATTAGGCATCAGCTTGCCTTGCCTCCTATTACGACAGTGATGGTTAACCTTTTTGGTGCCATGCGCCCAAAGCCCGTGTGCGCGCGAATGCACATGTGCGTGCCCCAATTCCCAAAATGCGATGCGAGTACCCCTACACATGCACCCTGCCTTCCCATTTTGGCTTTCAGGTTGGTGAAGGAGGCTTTTCAGGCCCAAAATAAGGCGCGGAAGGGGGTGGGGTTTGCTTATGACCTCCACAGTTTCTCCACCCAGCGTGCCCTAGCTTCCTCCTCCATTCCTGCCGGGGAGAGGCACCTGCGGAGGATGGAACCTGTGGCGATCGGGGAAGGCACGGGCAGCAGAAATGCAGGAGAAAGCTAGGGCGCGCTGCAGGGGAAACTGCGGAGATTGGGGAAGGCCCCATCCCCGCGCATGCACAGCAGAGACCTGAAGACCAGCTGGCTGGCGGGAGGCACGCGCACATGCGCGATAGCCTGGGCTGGGGCGAACATGTAGGTTTGCCATCACGGTATTCGGAGATGGGGAAGCATCCATTAGGGATGTCAAACTCGATTTTTTTGAGAGCTGCATCAGGGTTGTGTTTGACTTTGGGGTGGGTGGGTGGGCGTGGCCAGCTCGACATCACTTGTGTTGGGGGCACCTCTGGAGGCCTGGATGGGACTAAGGGATCAATTGAGTCCAGTGGAGGAAGGCGAGATCAGGGAATGAGCCTAACTCTTATCTTCCAGAGGAGTCTCGCTGTTCCTATCAGGCCACCCGAGGACCTCTGGACAGAGGCACAGGCTGTCCAGAGCTCTAGGCAGCAGAGGGCAAGCGTCCAGCCCAGCCCTCAAGCTCCCACATCATTAGGACCCCACAGCCCAGGCCAGGTCAGCCCTGGTTCTCCAAGGGGGTGCCCGGCTGCACTTACCTCCTCCTCCTACTGCTGTTGTTCTTGCTCTCCTTGGCCAGGTTGCTCATGATGTGTGCAGGAAGGTGAAGTGTGTGGGTCAGAGGGAAGCCCACGCCCTCTCCACCCAAGGAGACCCAGCTTTGTAACCAAATCATCTTCAGCAATCAGATGGGAGACCACCAGGAAGGCCTCCTGCAGCCCCCTGCCAGTGAAAACGGAGCTCGGGGGTGCCACGCACAGCCCTTCCATGTTCCATTTTCACTGGCAGAGGCACTGTGGGCTGGTTCTTTGCTGTTTTCATGGTGGCCCCTTGGACTATATCTAAGCACCCCATGGGCGGGATCTGGCCCACGGGCCTTCAGTTTGACACCCCTGCTTCATGGAGTGTCATGGCTTCAGGAAAGGTAAACCATCCCCACCCAACGCAACCAAACTACTGAACAATGACTATACAGGTGGTTCTTGACTTACCACCGTAATTGAGTCCTGCAATTAAGGTCATAAGTCATGACAATCATCTTTGTTTTTGGGTGGCCTACCATATCTGGATTATCCCAAGCATCTCCCTTCCCACCTATGCCATGTGCTCACCCGTGCATGGGGCCCGACTGGGCACTGTTCCCCATTTCCACCATGTTCCCGAAGAGGCTGTTCATCCGGGGATCCTGATTGCTCGCTTCGGCAGTGGTAAAGTGGTAATCGGTGACCTTGTCGACGTGGTCGTGAGGGATTCCTGCTCCTCGGTCTGAAATCCTGCCAATGGGAAGAGAGACGTGCAGAAGAAGCCATCCCCCACATTGCAAACTTGTGAGACTGTTTGGGGTGGTTTTGGTAGAAGAACCTCTTGGTAGAAGACTAGACGGAAGAAGTGCCATTCTTGGCCACAGGCCCTCTTGGGTTTCTCAGGAGCCTCTGACACCCAGTATGGTAACTTCTGAGTCACTCATGGTGGTGCAGTGGCTAAAAGACAGTATTGTGGGCTAATTCTGCTGACTGCCAGCAGTTTGATTCTGACCGGCTCAAGGTTGACTCAGCCTTCCATCCTTCTGAGATGGGTAAAATGAGGACCCAGATTGTTGGGGGCAAATACGTTGACTCTGTAAACCACTTAGAGAGGGCTGGAAAGCACTGTGAAGTGATATATAAGTCTAAGTGCTATTGCTATCTGACAGGATTCAATCTAGGAAGAAATTTGGAGCAATTCTGGTCCCTCCTGCTGAGACCTGCTCAGAAGATCCTTTTTTGGGGGGGACATTAGTTTATAAAGTCCCAAGGGATTCTATTTCCCTACCTAACATCTAGAGATGTGCGGGAGATCATTCAGATCTTGGAGTGGAATGTTATCAGGATGCCGGTGATACCCAGCTCTTTCTACTCCCTCCTATCTAACTCCAAGGGAATCATTTGGACCTTCAATTGCCCAGCTCAATAAAAGGGTGGGTAAGAAAAAAATAAGCTGAATCTAGACAAAATGGAGGCACCGTTGATAAGCAGAAAGCTGGAGTCCGGAATTGGGGTGGGATCTGCTTGGGTTGCATTCTCCCAGAAAGACCAGTTTGGGAGGGCTCCTTCATCCCCAGTTGTCACTGGACTTCCAAATGACAACTGCGGTGAGGAGTGAATTTACCCACTGATGGCTCTGAAGCTGGTGGCTCAGCAGAAGTCCCCCATCCCTTGGTTGCAATCTGTCTTGACATTCTGAAGATGTCTCTCAGTCAGAGGCACAGGGCCTTCTCTTCGGTGGCTTCGGAGGCCATGAAATGCCCTCACTAAGAAGGTTCGTCTAGTTTCTGCTCTCTTTGTTCCATTTAATTTTATCTAGTTAAAGGGGGAAAAGTGCTCTGTAATTTTTGTTCTAACAAACCACTAGAATAAACAGAAAGATGAAGTAAAACATTACTAATAAATAAATAGCATGTTTCCCTCAAAATGGGACCTCCCCAGATAATAAGTCCAATCAGGCTTTTGAGCGCATGCGCTAAAATAAGCCCTCCCCTGAAAATAAGCCCTCTCCTGAGACATTTAAACACATGTGCAGCTGGTACCCGCCATTTCCTGGGGGAAGGAAGGGGTGTAACATGCCCCATGTGCCCCACATGCACCTGCCATCCACGCGGAATGGCCTCGCGAAGGCAAACCCTAGGTACTGCGCCCCTTCTCTTAGTGGCGGCCGCAAAAAAGAGCACCAGGCCCAGGGACACCAGGGCTGGCAAGAGTGTGCCAGAAACAGAGAAAGAACTTCTGGCCCTCTCGGGATCAGCTGATCTGTGAGCCAAGGTTAAGGGGCCTCCTGCACCTTAAAAATAATAAGACCTCCCTGAAAATAAGGCCAAATGCTTATTTCATGGGTCAAAAGAAACATTTTGATTTTTAATAAAAGTTTTACGGTAAAACGTTTTATAAAATTCACCAAATTTCAATTCGACAGGATTTATGAGCCCCTAGATTTTGGATGCCATCTGTAAGATAACCCATTTCGGGTAACTCGGTTCGGAAATTGTAGCTCTACCCTGCACTATTTCACCCACTTAAAATTTCCAAGAGACAGACACTTTTAATAGTATATAGACATGCAAATATTGCACCAAAGTACCTTATGATGAGGTCAATATCATTGTTGGCAATCGTGATGATAATGTCTGGCACATTGTATGGGGTATCCAGGTGAGATTCCATCGTAGCTCTGAAAGAATCAAACCCATTATAATTCCACGAAAACATCATTTCAGCTGAGAATGCAAGAATGTGGACATAGTGAATGTCAACTTTGAAGCGAGCCTGGCTGAGGCCATCTTTGAGGCTTCATGGTTGCCACAAAGCGAAGCGGGAGGAAGGGAGGGGGAATTTTAGATAGCTTGGTTTTTTTGGGGGGGGAAACCAAATTCATTCCAACAGGTGGCTGAGAAGAGGAAGAGTGGAGTAACCAGGCAACCTGCTAGCACCAGTAGCACTTTTTTCAATGCCATTTGATCAGTCGCTAAATGAATGGTTGTATGTCAAGGACTACCTGCACTGTTAAATGTTCTGCGGTCAAGCTAGAGCCCCTAAATTGACTCTTTCCTCTAACTGTCTCCTTCCTTCTTATGTAATAACTAATTCTTCTAAGAAATCTCAAGAAAATAGAAAGAGCTTATCTATCAATGAACCTTGAGGAAAACAAAATGGATTCAAAGCCACGAAATCTCGTTTTCTTTCAACACCTAATGCTGATCATCTTCTTCCTTAGGGAACAGGAAAAAAGATGTGGCAATCAACTCCCTACCTCCAAGATGAATATGTCCTGGAATTATCCTCAATTTATGACTGCAATGGGGACCAGAATTTCAGTTGTAAGTCACTGCGGTTATAAATTGAGGCAAGACGGACATGATTTTTCAGCTCTTTTTAGGATGTTCATTAAGCGAAACATGCAGTTGTAAATCCGAATCACACAGTTGATAAGCGAACCCATTCTTCTAAATCAACAAAAAATGCCAAACACCAGCAAAATAATAATAATAATAATAATAATAATAATAATAATAATAATAATAATAATAATAATAATAATAATTGCAAATCGTGGTCATGTGTCTGTGGGACCCTGCAATTGGCTGCAAATTGAAGCCAGTTTCCTGGGATTGGAAGGAGGGCGATGTGAGATTTTACAATATCCATAAATGCTTTGTGGGCCATGAAAAATGCTTTCCGAGTCTATCGTAATTTTGATTGGTTGTTAAACCATTCCAGTCTCTTCTTAAAAACTTACCAGTTGTAAGTCTAGGACTACTTGAATGTAGTCCTAGACTTACTTTAGAATTTAGAGTATTCCAGGATCTGGAACCAACATATAATGGTTCTTCCCAGCAAGCAGGAAGGATGTGTAGGAGTGGCAGAAGCTGGGGGTGGAGTCAAAAGAGGAATCAGCCGGGAATCGTTATGTAGCCACAAAAGGACTTAGCCCAACCTCTCTTGAATCCAGCCCTTATCTAACGCCAAGATCATGCTAACATTAGTGGAGTAGTTTCCTGGGCATAGACAAGATTAGTAATGAATCCCTTTAAATGGAATTTCACTAGTGGCCCTGATCTTTCCTGCCTTTCAGGATGGTTCAGAATTTAGATCTGTTAGAATAGAATAGAGCTAGAAGGGACCTTGGAGGTCTTCTAGTCCAGCCCCCTGCTCAAGCAGGAGAACCTATAATGTTTCAGATAAGTGTCTAGTTTATTCTTAAAAACCTCCAGTGATGGAGTGCCCATGATTTCTGAAGGCAAGCTGTTCCACTGGTTAATTGTCCTCACCGTTAGAAAGTTTATCCTTAATTCCAAGTTGCTTCTCTCTCTGGTTAGTTTCCAACCATTGTTTCTTGTTCTGCTCTATGGTGCTTTGAAGAATAATTTGACTGCCTCCTCTTTGTGGCAGCCCCTCAAGTACTGGAATACTGCTATCATGTCACTCCTAATTCTTCTTTTGTTTAGACTAGCTAGCCGAACTCAAAACATATGTATTAATCACCAGGCCTTTGATCATCTTAGTTGCTCTGCTCTGAACTTTTTCCAAGGTCTCAACATCTTTTTTGCATCATGGTGACCAAAATTGGCTGCGGTGTTTCAGATGTCGTCTTACTAGGGTTTTATAAAGTGGTACTAGTACTTCATGTGATCTTGATTCTATGACTCTGTTTATACAATCCAGAATTGGATTAGCTTTTTTGACGGTGGCTGCACACTGCTGGCTTATATTCTAGCGATCATCCACTAGGACTCCAAGATTCTTCTCCACAGTTACTATTTTTAAGCCAGGTTTCACCTAATCTGTACTTATATGTTTGATTTTTCCAGCCTAAATGTTGATCCTGGTTTGATCCAGGGGTGGGTTCTTGCCAATTCTAACCTCTTCTATAGAAGAGGTTCCACAAATTACAGTGCCATTTAGAACCGGTTCCAGCTCCCTCCTCCCGCCCATCTGCACATCATCAAGATGAAGAGCAAGAGGAGAAATTCTGGGAGTTGAAGTCCACAAGTCTTAAAGCTGTCAAGTTTGAACACCCCTGGGTTTTTTTTTCTAAAGGGTTAGGGGTGCAAGGGTCTTGTAACTTGACAGCTTTAAGACTTGTGTGCTTCAAATGTCAGAGTTTCTGAGCCAACATGACTGGAGGAGGAATTCTGGGAGTTGAAGTCCACAAGTCTCAAAGCCGTCAAGTTTGAACACCCCTGGGTTTTTTTTTCCTAAAGGGTTAGGGGTGCAAGGGCCTTGTAACTTGACAGCTTTAAGACTTGCATGCTTCAAATGCCAGAGTTTCTGAGCCAACATTTTGGTTGCTATGCAAGAGTAGTGTTAAGTGAATTTCACCACATTTTACAAGTTGGCCATGCCCACACAGTCACATGGCTGGCAAGCCACTCCCACAAAGCAGGCCACACCTACAGAAGAGAAATTTTGAAACCCACCATTGGTTTGATCTCACTTACTATGCACTATGCACTCCCTTTGAATGTCATCTTTGTATGCTGGATTTCCTCCAATCACTCTCCCTCATGATAGCTGTCCATGACAAATGCCTGCTTACATCCTCAACATTCTTGCCCTCTTATTCAAATCCACCAAATTAGGGCAAATTTCCCTCCTGCTCACAGAGCTCTGGCACTTACCGCATTGCGTTCTTCAGCAACTCTGGAAGGATGTAATCCAGAGGCATTGGAATGAAAGGGAAGCGAGCCGCCACATGCCCATTGATCCGCACCTGAGGTGCGTTGCCATACTTGTGTTCACACAGGCGCCTGTGGAAAAACCGCAAAAGGGTTAAATAGAGACCCAAATTTCTTATTGAGTGATGTTTCTGGGGACAACCTGCCTTAGAAAAAGACTGACTCGTTTCCATCTTTCCAGGCAGGCTGACTTGACCAATTCTGCATTCCCTCTTGATTCTTTTCTCTTAGATTAATGGAACATTTTTTTCAATCATCCAGGCAAAATGTGCTTTTTCAAGAGGCAACTGGACTTTCTGGTTTTTCTTTGAAGACATTTTGCTTCTCATCCAAGAAGCTTCTTCAGCTCTGACTGGATGGTGGAAGAATTGAAGGATTTACACTCCTTCTAGGCAGCTGGTCATTTGCATCCTTTTAGAGAGTCCTTGAGGCCACTTGGAGGTTTAGCTGTATCGTCAGAGCCGCCTGAATAGTGCAAATGGGTGGAGAGTCTTCTTGAAACTGCTGGAATGAATGTGTTGCAGACTGAGGAGATAGATGATGTCATATCCCCCCCCCCTCTGTTGAGAGAGGGCTGTTCAATTTTGATTTGTGATCCTGAGGACACAGCTAAACCTCCAGATGACCTTAACAACTGGCTCAAAGGATGCAAATGTCAAGCTGTCTGCAAGGAGTATAAATCCTTCCATTCCCCACCATCCAGTCAGAGTTGAAGAAGCTTCTTGGATGAGAAGCGAAATTATCTTCAAAGAAAAACAAGGAAGTCCAATTGCCTCCTGAAAAAAGCACCTTTGAGACAACCATGATCTGGATGACTAAGAAGCTCCATAGATATCGGGCCCAAATTCAATCTTTATCCACATACTGAAGTCATAGTCATAAGCAGATCAGATCCATCTTTTCATTGGTCTCCAGTTACACCATCCAAATGTTCGGATTTTAAACCATTTTTAAAATTCAATTCAATGTACTTTGGATTATTTCGTGGTTTTATTTAGTTTAAATGCATTTTAATTTAGCACTTGATGCCACTGCATGATTCAGATCGATCTGCAGTTAGCAGAAGATTTTCGGGATGGGGGGGGGGGAAGCCAACAGTTGCAGGCAGTCCTCGACTTATGACCATAATCGGACCACAATTTCTGTGGCTAATAAGATGATGGTCAGAGGGAGCTTTGATGATCTTTTTGACATGGATGTTAAGTGAATCACTGCCATTGTTCAGTGAGTGATGAAGTTGTTAAGATTGCAAGTGCTGATTTCCTGAACCTGGGATGCTCCAACCTTCATAAATAACGTGTTTCCCCAAAAATAAGACAGGGTCCTATTTTCTTTTGCCCCCCCCCGAAATAAGTGCTTGGCCTTATTTTTGGGGAGGTCTTATTATTTTTGAGGTGCAGGAGGCGGAGAGTGTAGCCACCTCATGGCTGCTGCTGTGTCGCAATGTTTATGTGTGGGGGATTATTTTAGCGCATGCACTCAAAAGCCGATTTGGGCTTGTTATTTTAGGGGAAACGGGGTACATGCCCTTTCCCAAGCTCCCAAATTTTGATCACGTGACCATGAGAATGCTGCAACGGTTATAAGTGTGAAGACTGGTCATAAGTCACTTTTTTTCCAGTGCCATTGTAGCTTAGAACGGTCACTGAATGAATGGTTTTAAGTCGAGAAGTACTTGTAATCTTACAAAACCTTAACAAACAAGGAACTATCTAGTATGGACACTAGATGGAGCTATTGACTGCAGCATACAGGTAGTCCTCAACGTGCGACCGCAATGGAGCCCAGAATTTATGTTGCTAAGTGAGACATTTGTTAAGTGAGATTTGCCCCACTTTATGACAGTTTTTAAGTGAATCACTGCAGTTGCTAAGATAATAACACGAGTGAATCTGGCTTGCCCACTGACGTTGCTTTTCAGGAGATCCCCAGAGGATCACATGATCCAAGGAACACTGCAACCGTCATGAATATGAGCCAGTTGCCAAGTGTCTGAATTTTGATCACATGACCATGGGGGGATTCTGAAATGGTCGTAAGTGTGAAAAATGATTCTACATCGCTTTCTTCAATGCCACTGTTAAATTTGAACGGTCACTAAATGAACTGTTGCAAGTCGAGGACTACCGGTATTATACTACTGGTAGCCCCCCAGGTTACAACCATTCACTTGGTGACTGTTCAAAGTTACACCGGCACTGAAAACATTGGCTTATGACTGTTTTTCACACTTATGACCGTTGTAGCAGCCCCCCCATGGTCACATAATCAGAATTAAGACACTTGGGAACTGACTAATGTTTATTGAGGTTGCAGTGTCCCTGGCATCCCTTTTTCTTTTTAATATTTTTTTTTATTTCTTATTTAAAACAAACACAATATCCTTCTTTACATGCTGTAGAAAGTGTATCAGTTGGTTACAAAAAGACTTTCGTGCATCTCTTTCACAGTCAACAAACACAATTCATATTAACTTAGGTATTTTAACTCAAATATTCATACATGTCATCATGATCATATCTCCATTTTCATTTGACTATAATTGTTTAAACGTCCTTCAACATAAAATATACCAAAATTTAATACATAACCACATACTGGCCTAGTGTAAAGACAAATGTACATTGCTGGTCTTTGACCGTAATAAAGATCTTACTTACTGCCTTTCAATTACTATTTCTAAAATCCTCCACTAACACTAAATCCTTATGCCCTATTCTAGCTAAACATCCATAATATTTAATAACAAAGTTTTTGAATCCTCCTTTCAAATCACTTTTTAAAGTTTACATCCAGTTTCCTTATGTTATATCCATATCTATATATACGTTGTTATTCTTATCCCTCTTTTTTTTTTTTACTATATCCTGTATCATAACATTTCCCCCCTAATAATCAAAACTTTAACTGTATCTAACTTAGTTCTTTTTTAAATTGTTATTATTAACCTTTATGTATAATCCAAAGGTCGTCCCTTTTTTCTGATCCCTTTCTCACAAGCCAAGCCAATGGAGAAGCGAGATTCACTTAACAACCGTGTTACTAAGCTAACAACTGCAGTGATTCATTTAACGCCTGTAGCAAGAAAGGCCGTGAAATGGGGCAAAACTCACAACGGATGCCTCACTTAGCAACATAAATTTTAGGCTCCCTTGTGGTCTTCAGTCGAGGACTACCTGTATAAGCAGTGTCAATGCAGATCCGCAGCAATAATTAAATTACCTGGCAAAATCCACCCATTTTTCGATTATTTTCTTTGGTGACAAGCGGGTGCAGATGATTCCAACAAAGTCTGGCTGCAAGAAAACGGAAAAAATAATAATGCTGCTTCAGCTTCGGAATTACATCATTCACTCCAATAAAATATTTAACCTAACTATAAGCTTTCTTCCCTCAACCCCAGGGCCAAAAGCTGAAAGCTAATACTAAAAGACTTTTGGGCTGGGCCCTGCGGGTTCTGTGGGCTGATGAGTCAAAGCAAAGATGTCAGCAAAACCTTGATGACTGGTTGCTAATATCTCCTGCCAGACAATTTCTCGGTTATTCGGGAATCTAAATCTGTTCCAGCCAAAGGAAAAAGGTTTTCTCTCTTTACTGCTGGAGGAAGGAACGTTTGAGGGCTGTTCTAGCAAAGAATTCCGCCTGAATTTGAGGGCCTTGGAACACTGCATCTGTGAGATGCTCTCTTGTACGCCTCCCACAATGTTTTGTTTTGTTTTTCATATAATTTTTTTTAATTAAATGTTTCAAAGAGAACAGAAGAGCTAATATAAAACAGAAACTAGAAAGAAAAAAAGAACAGTAAAATTGCAATAAGAATAAATAGAAAGAAGAAGCTTCTGGTTTTCTTTGCGGCAAGTATGAAAAAGCATCTCTTACTCTGTGGGAAATCAGAGAATAGGAAAAATAACCCCACCTCATTTTTTTTTCTATTCTCTGGGGTTTTTTTTTCCTAATCACCAGAACCATAATTCATAAATGAATTATTCCTGTTTCATGCAAAAAGAAGTCTCCAGTCCCCTTACACAGGGGAGAGAGGGAGGGAGGGAAGGAAGGAAATGACATGGAGGGAGAGAGTAAGGAAGGAAGGAAAAAGAAAGGAAGGAAGGAAATGACATGGAGGGAGAGAGGAAGGAAGGAAGAAATAAAAAATAAAAAAGAAAGGAAGGAAAGAAATGACATGGAGGGAGAGAGGAAGGAAGGAAGGAAGAAATAAAAAATAAAAAAGGAAGGGAGGAAGTGATATGGAGGGAGAGGAAGGAAGGAAGAAAAAAGAAAAAGTAAAGAAAGAAGGAAGGAAGGAAATGACATGACAGGAGAGAGGAAGGAAGGGAGAAAGAAAAGAAAAGAAAAAAGGAAGGAAAGAAGGAAGGAAATGGCATGTAAGAAGAGAGGGAGGAAGGAAGGAAGAAAGAAAAAAGAAAAAAAGGAAGGAAGGAAGGAAGGTTGGTTGATTTGGGTCTGTGAAACCCAAAAGGGAAGGAAGTAAAAGGGAAGGGAAGCTGTATGAAGGTGGCCTGATTTTGTAAGGTTGAGAAATACCTCAAAGAACGTGAAAATACACAGGTGTAATTATGAACGAAAAAGCTAAACTATGTCCCAGTACATAACAACTGATGTTATCTAGGTTGTTGTGGCTGATCTGAAAACAGATATTTAGATTAGTGAGGCAAGCAAATTATGCCCCAAAGATTGATGATAATGGAACAACTGAACTTGAATTGTGGGGAAATTGTGTAATATTCTTAATGAGTAAAGAACTTGAGGCGAAATTATTCTGTTAGATGATATGAATCAATGGATGAGAAAAAGAGCAAAGAAATAAAAAAAAAAAGATTGGGCCATTTGAAGCTGCATGAATGACTCAGAATAACAGAGAATAGATAATACAAATATACAGTGTAAGCATTGTCCTACACACAGGTACACAAGACAATGGAGTGAATATAATCTAAAGGCAGAGTTAATCTGATTGTTCATAAAGTCTGAGAGAATTAGCCAGTAATGAAAGAGATCATTATGTAGTGTCAAGACTGGGGTGGTTTTCACTTACCTTCCCTATCAGTTTGCAAATGTGCACACATGTGCTTTGCTCAAAAAAAAAAAAGTCCCTAAATAGGACAAAATATAGCCAGGGTGGGTGGATAGGCCCACCCGTGATTTCTGCTACCGGTTCAGGCAAATCAGTCCAAACGAGCAGAATACTATCTCTGGTCAAGAATAAATCTTGGGGGGGTGGGTGGGATGGAAATGAAGAAAAGCGGTAAAACAAATAAATAATAAAAACAAAACTGCAAGAGGAGAAAAGAGAGGTCCTTATGAGAAAACATTACGAGACAGATTAATTTTCCTACAGAAAGAATGGAAAGTGGACGTAATCGAAGAAGTTGTAAGAACTGCTTGGAACAGTGGGGGGAAAAAACACCATCATTTCTTTTTTCTTATTTATTTTGCTCTTTTCTCTTCTACTCTGCTTTTTCATGCTTTTCTGTGAACTTGGAATTTCACTCCCCCCCCCCCCCGCCTTCCCTATTCTCAAACTGCCCTCAGAATTGACTTTGTTTTCTGTACTTCTCAAAACCTACATCTGTTCTGAATTCTTCCTTGCTGGGAAGGTCCATAAACTGCTACCAAATGACAAATTTGTTAGCAATGCTTTTGGAGGAGTCCACAGAGATAGAATAAAGTTGAAAACTTTAGAATAACAGAGTTGGAAGGGACCTTGGAGGTCTTTCCTATCTAAGCAGGGGGTTGGACTAGAAGACCTCCAAGGTCCCTTCCAACTCTGTTATTCTATTCTATACTATTCTATTCTAAAGTCTTTCAAGGGAGGATTTATAGTCACAGGCCTTATCTGGCTTGGAGAGCTGCCAGGCCGATATCTGCGAAACTTGGCAAGGAGTCACAAACCCATTAAGCGAACTAACTGTCTCCTGCAAACTCCACTCCCCTTTCGCTCCTCTTTTATTTCCTCTGAGATGGGCCATTCATCATCCACTTGTGGCCTTACTCCCAGATCAACCCAAGTTCTTTAGCTGTTCCCTTCGTCTGGCAACTCTGGACATACGCACACTGGGAACAGGCTCCAGCTGTTCGTCTGTCTCACTGGTGTCTGACTCTGAAGGCAGCTGATAAATGTGATATGGCTCTGGCTCCCTCTCTGCCTCCGAGCCTCATCAGAGCCTTCGTCAGACTCCAGGACTGGCCCATGTTCCTCCCCAACCTCCTCACTGTCCGAATCTGCTGCCAGTTCCGCTGGCCACTGGCAGGCCACAACAAAGTGGCACAGATTTAGGGAAGGTTAGTGGAGATGATCACAGATGGAAACCTTGTAGAACTTTGAGGATAAATTTACTGTGAGAAGATTGAATGGCGATGTGAATTTTTAAAAAAGGAAGCAACTTTTAGCCAATTGGACTTGATCTGGATATTCTTGGTAGCGGTGCAAAGATGAGTGGCTACTGCTTCTTCCAGCAGTTTTTCTCTTCTTGTTTTGGCCTGCAGCCCTAAGATTTCCTAGTGGCCTTCCATCCAACCTGGCTTAGCTGCCAAGATCAATCAAGATTGGTTATGTGCTGCCAACCTCCTGTGATCTGGCAGAACTGAAAAAGCTTCTTGGATGAGAAGCAAAACGTCTTCAAGGAAAAACAAAGTCCAGTTGTCTTCTTGGAACAAAAGCACCTTTGGGACAGTTGACAAGGCTTGACTTTTTTTTAACCTTGGAGAGATTCTGGTTGAACAGGAAATCCCCAGCAAAGAGAAACAGAGCTGGTTAAACTGATTCTTTTATCCAAATAAGAGAATCTATTTAATTTTCGTCTATTTTGAAATTGCTTCTGGATTTTGTGTTTGCAATGGGATATGTGTGTGTGTGTGTGTGTGTGTGTGTGTGTGTGTGTGTGTGTGTGTGTATGTATGTGTATATATGTGTATATATATATATGTATATGTATATGTATAATGTATATGTATATGCATATGTATATGTATATGTATATATATGAAACTTTGATTCTTTTTTTGTAAACTACACAGGCTTATTGTTATAGAAACGGCTTGTACATACTGTTTTGTAAAAGCAAAACGTTGTGGTTGTAATGTTCTTACCTTCTACTATTCTAAAGAGAGTCGGAAGTCGGTGCCTTCTTCTTTTTTACCCCCCCCTCGTTACATTATTTCCCTTCTTTTTCCCTCCCTCTCTTCTTACTTTTCCAGCTTTTCTTTGTATTTTGTACTTTGAAAAACTAATAAAAAGTTAAATTGAACACACACACACGGAAAGCCCCATGCTTGCAGCCAGTCCTAGATTAAAGGGTTTATTTTTTTTCCTGATCTAAGGCTGAGAAAAACCTTTTGAAAATAAGCTGAGCACAATGCTGGCTTGGAGGGGAGAACAGCTTCAGAGCCAGTGGTGGGCTGCACATTTTTTAACAACTGGTTCTCTGCCCTAATGACTGGCTGAATGGGCTTGGCCAGGGGATGTGAAAGCACTCAGCCTCCTTCAGCACTCTGCCAGTCAAAAAGGGGCGTGGGGTTTAATTACAAAATGTGGGCTTTGCTTTGTGACATCCAGACCCAGTGAGCAAGGGGTGTGAACTGCACAGAAAATACACTTTTGTTTGGTTATGAAGAAATATCCCCAAAGTCAGATGTACAATAAATGTAGACTGACTTTTAGCTACATATCTTCCTAGCAAACAGCAATTTTTGAAGCTCCAGATAAAGAGGATTCATTTTAGGATGAGTAACCACAGTTTGCATGTTGGAGGCTCCTAAAGGAATGCTGGGAAACTCAGTATTTTAAAGAACATTTGAGGGAGGGGTGCAGAATAGCCCTTCTCTGCCTGAGACTCTAGAGACCTGGCACCAATCAAAACACTGTTAATGAAGCCATTAGTATATGAAAATAAAAGCAAACTCAACTCCCTTCTAGTACTGATGATGTTACCCCCTTTGGTAATGAAACATCCACAAGAAAACTGTCAAGCTTAGAGAGCACCAAGGACCCCA